CCACCGTTTCACCGCAAAAAAAAAAAAGTGCACCAATGCAAAGGTTTTTTTTTCTCTCTCATTACCGCATTGTTTTATTTGATGCAATCTGTTCAGCCACTTATGGTCTTTGTTCATGCTTTTATGTATTAGGCAGTTTTTGCAGTGATAGTGGGCCCCATTGGTAGTAGGCCTAAGTTTAGCATAAGTGGTTTTTAGTAGAATCCAGATAGACACACTCTCCAGAACCATGTCTAATAGCATCAGTGCAGTCCAATGACTAGTTACCACACTTATAAAAGAAGATTAAGATATTGCATACATTTTTGTATCAAAAGGGCATAAGGGGAGAGTATACAAATGAACTTTCCCATTGTTTTAGCTTAAAGGTAGCCTATAGTTCACCAAAAATGACAATCCTCTCATAATTTACTTACCGTTGTCAAAAACAAACCTGTATGACATACTTCTGTGGAAAACAAAAGAAGATATTTTGAAGAACTGTTCGAATTGTTTATTCATTCAATGACTTCCATTGTATGGATGAAAAAAAAACTCACTGTGACATTTTTTCAAAATATCTTCTTATGTGTTCCACAGAAAACAAAAAGTCATACATTTGTTAAACAACATGAGAGTGAGTGAATTATGACCCTTTAAAGTCAACATGAAATGTGGTTCATAACCCCCTTTTCTTACTAAAAATGTGGGGAGATGTTTGTTTTTTGCGTGTCAGGAATTGTGAAAAGTGGGTGTTACATTGGCTACCAGAATGGAGCCAGATGGAAAGTGAGGGTTTAAAAACAATAAATCATGTGCCCCTTCTCATCCTTTTATGTCAAGTCATTATGATGACATCAGTAAAAAGAAAGTGATTTCATCAGATCAAGGGCAGATCAAGTTGTTGCATTTTGATTCAAGATTTCAAATAGTTTGCACTGATGAACCGTTCACAATAAGACCAGGAACTCGAATTAGGAATGTAATATTAATGTTGACTTAAATGGGTCATGAGCTGAGAAATCAAATTTCCCTCGATCTTTTGACACATGTACTATAAAAAATCCTGTAAATTTCAGGAAATATTAGACAGACGCAAACACAGGATTACTCCATACAGATGACATTACAAGACACTGTGTAGTGAAAAATAAGTTGTTAAAAATAGTCTTTGAATTGCCTTCCTTGTGATCCTTAACATCTAGATCGGACGCGAGCGCTGCTGCGTCATGTCCCGAATCAATTTCTATTTCAGGTCAGAAGTGGCGCGAATGCTTGTATGTTGAAAATAGAGCGGGACGTCAGTTTACTGTCTGAGATTTGTTGTGTCAATCCGTGCCGCATCCAGAACAGACAGTATCGCCGATTTTAACGGGTTCTGTGGTCTAGTCGCTTTCCGCAGCTCGCGTCCGGTGTAAACACGGGGTAAAATTAGCAATCACGTTAGTGAAACACCGAATGTTTGCTTTACTTTGCTACAGAGTCATTTTTAAACAAGACAGTGTGATGCAAGCTTTTCAGAGAGACTGAAAGAAAGTCTGACTAGTGATCCAACAGTACCGATACAGAAGTCACATAGATTGAAATATATTAATTATAAACACATTTTCATATATTTAAATATCTTACATTTAAATAGAAGAAAATATATTTTATGAAATATATGTAAATATATTTTGAAATATATTTAAAATATATATTTAAATATTTGATTTTGGCCACTGTTTAATATTTTTCACATATATTAAACATATGTAAATATATTTTTATCTGAAATATTTACCGATTAATTAAGAATTAATTAATTATGATTAAATTAAATCTACATATATGTAAATGTTTTCATTTTATATCGATTATAATTTGCCCCTTCATAATAAATGAAACAGAAATTGGACACTGAAAAAATGTAAAAATCTCCAGACAATGCAACTTAAAAACAGTGACAATATCAATTGAATTGGCATTAATATAAAGAGTACATTTATCAACACCAGTTCAGCATGAACCAACAAAAATTATGAATGCTCATGATGTTTCTGGCACATAAATAAAAGATTATCCTTCTGTAAGCATCCAGGGTCAAAACATTATGCACAAATATGCAAGTCTTAGTAGGCATTCAACACATTGCATTTAAATATTTAAGAGCCATCATTAACCATGCACAATTCATCAACTAATCACATGCTCCCACAATAATACATCAGCTAATCATGCCCTTAACCAACCCACTTCAAATAAGAAATTGAAAATCATATGCAAAATCTTTTTTTTTTGGACAATTCACCATTTAAAAAGGGGGGAAAAAAGCAATATCATGCCTGGGCTTCTTTCATTGCAGGTTACATTTTTATGCCAGTAGGTGGCAGCCAGAGACTGTCTTAATCAGTTAGTTAGCCACTGAAAGAATACTATGACAAAGATATCACTTTATGGATATACAGCAAATGTGCAGGGAATTGTGCTTCACACTGGTGCACTTATGAATAGATGTATTATAGCAAACCAAGTTTAATGAATCTCA